TCAAATACAGTTTTTTTTTTTGAGAACTATTTTGTTACCTTTTGTATCTTGGGTTTTGTCAATGCATTTGTTTGTATTTATTGACATTCCTCTGTGTTCCTACATTACTTGTAAATATCAAAATTGATACTGTTATTTCAGATGGTGGGAAGTATGATAAAGGTTTACTATGTTAACATTCCATGTTTTTTGTTACTTCAAAGTAAATTACCACATGACAATAAATGTTACTAAGAGTACAGTAAAATAATTGTAGTTAAAATAAGTACTTGCCTAACGGATGACTTGTCTACAGACTACAACTGCATGGAGAAATCTAAAGACTAGTGCAAGAATTTAGATGAGGCCATGATTGGCAAATTTAAATGGTTATATTAAAAGTGCAGTGACTATAGCATTTTGTGTATGACCACAATAATTAAATATGACATAGCAATATTCCGTACTTCAGAAAACTGGTTTTAGGGAATGTCAGATGTAACCAGCGTTTCAGCTGCCAAGAATAAATGTGCTGACTGTAGTGTTAAAGGAAAATGACAACACTCTTCATCCTAGCTTTTCACTAACAAGTATCAATAGGAGAACAAAGTTCTTAAGCTGTCATTGACTAAATGTGGACACTTGCAAGGCTTCCATGGCCCCTACCTGTAGCAAATAGGGCATTTGTTTTTGACTTTGGGCGTCAGGGTCGACTCCATAAAAGGTTAACGTGTGAGAAGATTGCAAAATTGAGAAGAGAATACAATTCAGTTAAAACAAAGACATTGTAAGAGGCAGTGAAATTCCAGTAGATGGCAGCAATACTATACACACGTTGCCTGTGACAGTAGAGAAAATGGTGTGGCATAGGGATATTTACCAGCCAGAAGAAAATAAGTGGTTAAAATAGAAAATTGCCATAGCAGAATAACTAGACTAGCTACTCGTGCTTTGTAAGAATGTAACGGTAAAGAACACAGTTATGAGATATGGAGGAAAATAATCAGTTGTAGCATGTTTGCTTTCAACATGACAATTGTGTGCTCGTACAGTTTTAATTTCATATTTCACAACACTCAGATTTTAAACTGGGCCAAATATGTTGCAGTATTAATTCACACTTATTTACGAAACAAGACAACCTGAGAAAACATAAATGCTCTAGCATGTGCGGCTCATGCTTTGTAATAATCTACCCGTCACCAGAGGGTGCCCCCGCCCCGCTTTGCAATTCTCGGCGTGACCGTGACAAGCCGAGCTGTTGGAGTCAGCTGACAGGCAGCAGCCCATCACAGAGCCAGAACA